GATGATTGTATGATTGAAAGCCTTATCTAGTGGCATTCTGAGTAAGACTAGTTACTAATCTAACAAACGGCAGGCAATTGCTGTCCCAACTGTCTTTTGTATTTGAAATCCTTTTAACCGGAGATGCCATGGATTTAAACAGTACCCTTCCACATGCAAAATAAATGCTCTGCTGCTGAATTTTAGTGAAGGACTTCGATCCTTTTAACTGGAGATGCCATGGATTTAAACAGTGCCACATGCAAAATAAACTCTCTGCTGCTGAATTTTAGTGAAGGACTTCTAACAGTCCAAATGTGTTCTCTTGGAAATGCTTTGCAGAAATTTTGTTGAGACATTCTGCTAAGCAAATGCATTTTAGAATTGTAGGTTTGAGTTAGATGAACTTGTGTCAATATATCTGTGAAGATTCTCAGTCATCCAGGTGAGGTTACCTGGAAGTTGAGTCATGGCAACTGGACTTCTTACTTGTTAAGTTGAAACATTTTGCTACTCATCCACGTACCTTCTTCAATCTGATGAACCTGTGTCAGTTTGAAGTCTACATATGGGTGAAATTATTGGAAAGAATGAGGTGCATAGAGATTTCAGCTGCAAAGTTGATAGATAAAGCTCATTTCATGGAAAAGAAAAGCTGTGTGAATCCCCCTTTGATTAACAGATGCAATAAAAACAATTAGTGAGGAGATTAAGATCTGCTTTGGCAACTATTGGCAAAATACTGCTGAGCTGAGTGCTGTATATAAAATGTAGCCAAGAAGGAGACTTCTTAATTTCCATGCATTTATCCTGTTTGTCATGCCTTTGTGCTCTCACAAAAACTAAATAGTCCCAAACCATATGAATCTTTACTGATGTGATTCCAGGATGATTGAATAAGAACTCTTAGAGATAGTCCTTCTGATCTTTGGTGTTAGAAATTGTTGGCGTGCATACAACTAGATGCATGCAATTTTTTTCTAGCATAATCTGAACAAGAACCGATTGTTTTCTGCTCCCATTCCCCAGGTCCAAGCTGATGACTGATAACAGAGTAGTTCCCTATTGTGTTTCCCATGGGGGAAAATTTCCATAAACTGGGGCTTGGGCCTGGAAATACATTAAGAGGCATTAGTGTTATTTTTGGAGAACCATCAAATCTAAAAATATGCAGTCTGATTCTATACTTGGTTTCATCTGGATGAAATGGAACTCGCCATAAACTAAGTATGTTCGATTGTCATATTGGTGTATCCTGTTGACCATTTGATGTCCTGGATGCATAGACATCAACTACCACTGCTAGGAACTTA